CTCATGCTCTATAGCTAATTTTACCAGGTCATTTGTAATCCCAGTGGTGATAAGCATTAATATGGTTGTTCTGCTCCTTTTGGGATTTTAACAGTGTGCTAAAAGGTTTTTGGTTAAGAGTGATGATCACCTGAACAGGACAGGTACAGGGCACCTAAGAGATGTCAGTCCAGGACAATTTACTGTTTGGGCATTTCCACAAATAGCACTACAAGACATCGTGGGTTTAATCATTTTTAGCTTGTAGTTATACAGATGTTCAAATTATTTATTTATTTATTTAAAAGGGGGTTGGGGGCAGAAATTTGCCCTTTTTATAACATGTTTTGATTGAGTTCCCAAAATACACATAATCTGTACACCAAAAAGGGCAAATAAATTGTACAGCTGAGGCTTGCATGAATCTGTCATAGATCTTTATGTACTGATTTTCTGCATCTAATATGGCGATAGGTGATGGATGAAGCAGAAACATACTAACCTGACTGTCAGCGTTCCAAGTATCATGTAGAATTAAATCAGAGTCCAAGGCAAAACGATCCTTAAAGTTCCAATTTAATAAACCAGACATCTTAGCACATCTGTGAAATCCCAATTCTGGAAGTTACATCGGATTCCCACCCAGTTGAAAGTTCATGATCTTGTCCCCACACCCACAAATCCATCACATGGTCCAATCTTCTTCTTCCACGCTGGCATCTCCACTCAGCTGGTTCCGGTCAGGAGCAAAGGTGTGGAGACAAAATATGACCTTGGGCTTCTAGAAAAGAATGACGACAACACATTCCACAATTCTACTCCTTTCTATTCCCCCCTCCCAACTACTACACTAATGAAACAGCATAATGAAACAAGAGAGAGTGTGGCAGGCCAAAGATCCTAAAAGGGATATAACTGCAGGCCTGACACTGACATTGCATTGAGTAGACAACCTTATATAATTGTTACCATTATAATTTTTCTGAAAACTTATCTGTCATCAGAATATATAAGTCAGATATCTAGATACATAGAACAGGGGAAGATGGGGAAAATGTATTCCCAGACACTTGAATAATTTTTTTCATTCATATATGTGGCATTTTTTACAGGGCTTATTTGTAAAGTAACTTGTGAAGGTTGGCAGAGCATGATTGAGCTCTGGATACGTCTCTCAGTCAGTGCTGTATCTGAATGTGACTTAGTAACATGTTAAATTTCCTGACCAGTGAAATAATGTAGTTACACCCTTCTGAATGCCTAGTTGTTATATTTCTTGTTTTTAATAGACATTTAGAAGTTGTGAAATATAATTAAGGAAGTTAAAAATTAGGATTTTTAATGGAATAACAGAACAACCAAGTTAGAAGGGACTTTAGGGGTCTTCTAGTGCAACCCCTTGCCCATTCCTTAATGTATTCTCTTTAGGGGAGAAATAGGCTCTCCTCTCTTTAACAATTTGCATCTCCAGTTTCCATCTGTCTGTCTAGCAGATAGATAGTTTGGTATCTACACTTCCTTCCTTTTGACAAGAAACTGTAGCGACAAATGATTGTATTCATTCCAGTTAGCTTTAGTCTAGGGCCTTTTTTCATGCCTCTTCTAAGATTTGCTACTGGAATACACGCAAATGCATTTCATTTTTGCATGCCTTGGCAGGAACAGAAACACCACAGCTCTATTTTGGAATTAGTGTAATTAACAATTAACCTCAATTGCTCTAAGATCTCATTATGGGGTGTTTAACTGACCTTGTAAGGAAATCAGTGGTGGCTATGTGTGTGTCTGAGGCACTCTGGAGTCGCAAGGCAGCCAAACCAGATTGCCTCCTTCCTACTAGTGCACAATACATAATGAGGCAAATTCAAAAGGAGGCTTTTAAAACTTTTCCCCAAAGTATTCTTCCATGTGTTGATTTTCTCCTATGAACTCTCATCTAGGTTGTTTTAAACATTTTTTTTTACTAGCCGGAGCTAAAACTAAAACTGCTTGGGTTTTTTATTTTTATTTTTTTTAAATCATCTAGGAGGTATTTACCAAGAAAAGTATGCATGTTTGAATAAAACATACTATAAAAAAGTGCTATCTTTTGGAATACTAAAAAACATACCAAAAGATTCTTGACTGTTATAGTTGCAACTGTCCAATACACCTATCCCCCCGTCCTAACCCTCTCATACCCTCCTGAGACCTTCCATGACTTGTATGTGGCCTATCCCGACCCTCCCCTGATTCTCCCAAGCTCTTTTCCTGGGATTCCCACCTTTTTCCTGGGATTCCCACCTTTCCCAACTAAAATGATCCACGTGTCTTGGGATTATGATAGCAACCAGTGACATCAAACTTTACAAACACATTACCTCACTTAGCAATGGCAATCCTGATTCCAATGGCTAAGATAATGTGACTACTTGTCATAATAGGGTTACTGGTACATCCAGAGTTATACTGCTTCATTATTTTTCTGCTCATTTTTTTTACTCAGAGCCTTTGGATACGAGATGGGTGGCAAATAAATTTTATAAATAAATTTGAAACTCTTTTATCTCCATTCCCATAAATTGTGCCAGCAATTCCATATTTTTCAGGGAAATGCCTTTATAAATCAAACATGCAGTAAATTTTCTTTTTCACATTCATGCTTTTCTCCATGATCTGTTGAAGAGCCATTCCATTCCAGAGCAAGTTTGATTCTGCTGTCAGTTTACATATATGCATTGGGAAAAACATACAATATTTGAGAGGGAGGTTTTTGTTTTCAGTCTGAAGTCCTACCTGTGTATTTTCACACTATATACTTAGATCATCTGTTAAGTCTTTCCTCCACTGAGTCATGGCACACTATTTAGAACCATGTTTAGCAAAGATCTTTAGAACTAATTGTGTGTGTGTTTGTGTGTGTGTGTGTGTGTGTGTGTGTGTGTATGTATGTATGTATGTATGTTTTTGTAGATTTTCACAGGTGTAGGTATGCTGGTCTTGTTGTATTCAGGTATATATATGGGATCTTTTGTTCATGCACAGATGTAGGATGAAAACAACAACAACACACCATATAGAACAAACAAGTCCATTAAATGCAGCTTATCCTAACACATTGCTTTCTTTCATCTTAAAGTAGTTTATAATGGGAGGCAAAGCTAAATATACATAATCCCTAACAGGGGATGAACAAGTGATGCCTGCACACTGCAGCCCTGATCCTAACATTTCCAGGACAATCCCTGGAGCAGTATTATATGTGCTTTTCTCCATGCAGTGTTCTGTCAATAGCAGGTCTACATCCCTGATGTCTTTCACCAAGTCATATGGCCATTTTTTCAGCAGTTCAGATTCTTAGCAATGATCCTGCTTTTGCAGTGCCAAATGCTCGCCAGCAATAGAGTTATGCTAGGCTATTATGCTGCCATGCATACAGTGATTTATGTTTTCTTGATACAATATTCTTTGCAAATTCCTCTTCAATTAGCAATTCTTTGATAATTTGCAACAATTTCTATTGCACTTGTTATGCTTATTAACAAGATAATTTGCAAATTTTTTTTTAAGACTGTTTTGCCCCATATACGGTAATGAAAAAGAGAAATTGTTTATAAAAAGGGATCAATGTTGCAATAGGAGGAGGGATTCTTTGGATCCTCTTTTGCTTGTTCTTTTCTGATTTGGGTTTCTCCACACACACACACACACACACACACACACACACACACACACACAGACTATAAGCAGATGTTTTCCTTCATTTGCATCTCATAGTACTGAATATCATAGGGGGAAAGAGGTAAATTGATCAGTAGGCTTCTATCTTGTTGATCAGTAACTGATAAGATTTAGAACTTTACCTCAAATATCCTTGAATCTTGCTAATATTTACTATTTTATCCCAAGTCAAAGTGATTCAAAGCATTCCATCTACTGTAATTTCAGTTGCAAAAGCTGAACAACTGTTATGACATTTTCCAGACCTCTCTTTTGCCTGAGAAGATAAGATAAACTGAAAACTATACATATGAGGATAAAAAATTAAATATGTTTGGTCTTCAAAATGCAGCATAAACAAACTTATTTTTCCAATAAAAAGTGTTTGGAATTATCTTTGAATGCATGATACTGTGGGCATTTATTGTACCAATGTTGGCATTCTTTTTATATATTCTTTTTATAAAAGTGGGTGATGTGGGTAATAGTGTCATCTTTTAGGGAAACATTGTTCATTGTTGCATGTTGCAAATGAGAAATAATGAGACAATTAAATAAACAAGTGATGTAGTTAATATATAGAGAGAGATCTATTGCCGAGCATGTTTCCCATTTATTTAACAAGTACTGTTTGCATTTAGCTGACTGCTATAATCCCTGTGAGATATAAGAATAAGACATAACAAGTATTCCAAATTCTCAGCTTTGGAGACATAGATTGTGTTCAAAAACAGAGCTTTCAACTTTCAGATACATTTTCAGTTTAAAAAAAGAAGTTTCAGTAGACCTTTGCATGGAATATATCCTCAATCCAATTAGTGATTGATTGGACTTTTTTTAAAAAGTTGAAAATTTTAGGGAGCTACAGCTAATTAATAGGCATGTGACAGTGTGTGTTAGTGAGATGGGCAGCATATAAATTTGAGAGAGGGGGGGAGGGAGAGAGAGAACATCACAGAGGGATCAATATTTATGGGTTTCAATGTACAATCCTAAAGTATCTTCCCCCTACACAACCCAATCTATTTACTTTGATATCTAAATGATTTGTCTGATGATGGAGGCTTAACAATCTGGACATTATAATACAATGAGATTGCTGTGGAATATTTGGGAAGAGGATGGATTAAAGCACTTCAATTAATTAGGACATGCGGAAAGCTTCCATGCTTAGGCGGCAGGAAGTACTACAAAGTTATTTTGCTTATAGCGTTGACTTGCTGCAGGGTAACCTCATTTTGAGGATTGGCTGACATTAGTACCACAGGTGAGGATCACGTGGACGTGCCTGGATCTCACAATGCTCTTTTCTCTCCTAATAGGTTTGATTTACACAACTTCGCAGCAGCTAGATCGTGAACACAAGGCTGAACATATCTTAGAAGTGAGTAATGATGAAGTTGCAATTAGTTTTATTTACTTGTAAGTAGCTTTTTTTTTTTAAAAAAATCCTCAAAGACATTTCCTTACAAGTCAGAGCATAGATAGAGGAGAAGGAGGAAGAGTCATTCCATCATTTCCAAATTGCTTAGAAGATAATTGCTTGTTCTGCATTTTTGTGTTTCTGCACCCAGTGCCAGCTTAAGAAATATCTCATGACTTGACTTCCTAACTGAAGACTAAAGCAGGAATCTTGTACCAAAGCCAAGCTGATGCATCCAGATGTTCTGGATGTCTGTTCCCACATGTTGCTTTTATCTAGAACATTAATGCTGGGAAATATCATATTTAAAATCAACCCATCTGGAGGGCACCATTTTAAGGATGTCTTCCTTAAGCGATGACGAATAGAACATGGTCATTAATTTCCCGCCACTTGAGAAAACATGGTATAAAAAAATATTGACTTATTTAATTTAATGATCACATGGTTATTAAATGAAACCTATACAGTGAGTAACAATACATTTTAGATTAAGATAGTTGTTCATGTCATGTCCTAACTAAGAAAGGATTGGAATAGGCAAACTTTTACTTCAGTTTACAAATGCAGACTCCAGTAGGTTTACTTTTGTGGATTTTTACTAAATTTCTTCCCAGGTTCTGCTACATACACCAAACTTATTCATGTGAATTCCTATTTTCTTCTCCTTTGTTTAAACAATCCAACAGATACAGCTTAATAACGAAGCCTACAATCTTTTGAGCTAATGGGCATAGTTGGATCTTTGATAACATACAGTATTACGGGCACCCTCACAAAATAGCTTGTGTGATGCTTACAACCATTTGGTGTTTTTTTTTAAGCCATTTATTATGGAATTAAGATGAATGACTTTTTTAAACAAAAGAGAGCTTCAATCTTCTATCATTTCTATTTTGTGAGAGTGTTTTATATATGTCCAGAATGCAGAAGCATTCTTGGAAATAAAAATTAAGTGGGCCATCAAGCAAGTTTTCTTTGAGTATCTTGGTGCTTGTGGGTTCCATGATACAGGCCAATGATTTAGCAATCTTTTCCAGTTTTGGGTTGCAAATGTGCGCTGTATCTTTTTATTAAATACACAAACAAGTAATTGTATTTTTTTTCTTTTTCTATTGGCGGTCTTCTTTGCAACAATAACACTTGCTTTTTCCAACAACTTTGTTTTAGATTTTTAAGGCACTTGTTCTTGACTAATTCCCTTCCATGTCTGAGTCTCTGACTCATCTATCATTCCATTCAGTGCAATCCAGCATGCAACAAACTGTTGAAGACTGACTTCAGTCATCTTTAGATGAATCATATTTGAAAGCGAGTTTCTTGCCTGGAAAGGAGTGCGTGCCTATCTTATAAACAGGTTCATACTTTGCGTTGTGTTCTGATGGGACTCCCTACTGGCTTTTTCTTGCAGGTTTCAGTTTCAGACAACGGGGATCCGGTTTTGCAGTCTAGCAGTAGAGTGGTAATCCAAGTCCTTGATGTGAATGACAATCCGCCCAGCTTCTCGCAAAAGTTGTTTATGGTTCAGCTGCCAGAAAAAGCAGCCTCTGAAACTCCTTTGCCGGTCTACAGGGTGATCGCTGCAGATCGCGATGAGGGGCTGAATTGCCAAATCACTTACAGCCTAGAAGAAAACAGCGAGGGACTATTTAGCATCCATCCAGTGACAGGCATAGTGTTCTCCCAAAAGGCTTTTTCTGCCCAAGAATACAACATACTTACAGTGAGTATCATTAGAAGCACAAGAGACTAAAGCAGGGGTGAGCTGCTGGAGGTTCGCAAGGGTTCGGGGGGACCTCAAGCTAAGATTCTGTGCAGTTCAGAGGACCCCCAAATCCCACTCTTGATTGGCCCCACCCACTCCACCCCTCCCAGGAGTCCCCACGTGGCCCATTTTGGATGTAGAGAAGTGCAGGGCATGCACGGAAACTCAGGGAAGGTGAAACTCAGGGAAGGTGGATGTTCAAGAAGGCCAAAAATGGACCTGTTTCTGGCTTGCATAGGGCCTCTGGAGCCTGGGGAGGACATTTTCACCCTCCCAAAGGCTCAAGGAAAGCCTCCAAAGCCCAGGGAGGGCAAAATTGCCCCCCTCCCCACCGTGGTGCAGGAGGCCAACTAGGCCACGCCCATCATGGCCACTGCCACCCAGCAACCAGGCAGAGAACCCCTTGCTAAAAATTTTGTAGCCCACCCCTGGACTAAAGACAGGTGATCATCTTTCTGAATATGGGAATGATATGAAATAGTACTGTTCCTTGTGATTTATGCTTTTTTCCCTCTTGTGGCTGAAGTTAAATTGGACTCTGGTAATATTAAAAAAAATTAATAACAATTTGACCCTAGTCCATTTTGAAACAATTCAATAAAGACAATTTTAATCCTCTTATAAATATAACATGCTACTCCAACCCAGTTTAAAGGGTTATTGGAAAAGGGAATTAAAAAGACATTGGAGTAGTTAGTCAATGCAAGGCCACACTGAAGAGTGGGAAAAGATTTTTTATTAGTAGCATGTATTATTTTTCCCTACATAGTGAAATCTTTGCATACCAATTAAACATTTTTTCAAAGTATGCCATTTGTTCAATTAATTAAAGCTGAATTCTTTGAACTAGATATTGTGTTCTCAGTAAAATCTTTTTATTGACTATTGCAAAGGAAAACAGCCTGACATAGAGCTCATCATAAAGATAATACAGTATATGTGAAATTAAGTTAGAGCTTAGTCCATTGATCAAGTTGAGTGCAAATTGAGAGACAGGTAGTCTTTGTTTAACAACCACAATTTGGGTCAGCAACTTTTAGTGGTCATTAAGTGAGACATCATGTGATCATGATGGGCTTACAACTTGACTCCCACTATGGTTGCTAAGACATTGTGTGTTTATGGCCTGAGATTTTAGTACCATCTTCTCCATTGACTGCTTGAATGCATAAACACCCACCAGTTGCAAAGTGCCCAAATCTCAGTCATGTGACCATGGGGATGCTGTGATTGCAAATAAAGTTACTTTTTTAACACTTAAAGTTACTTTTTTATAACTACAAACACTTGCTAAAAAGGGCAGTTATTAAACTGGGATTAACTGTAGTAACACAAGCAAGATTTGAAGGATCACAATAATAAAAAGAGAGGCTAATGAATTGTAAGATGTATTTATTAAAATCATCCTGGAGGTACCTGAGTATAGGAACATTTTATCAAGGATAGCTCTTATGTTTCTTTGTGTTGAGCAGTAAATTGGTTTAAACTGAGCATTCAGATCGTGGTTCAATTTTTTGCAAAATTTAGAATCATCTTTTTGACCTAATTAGATGTATTCATCCTAGTGAAAACCATCATCATTTAATCCTTGATATGGTGGTGGATGCAAATAAATCTCTGTGTCTTGATTAATTAGTTAAAAGAATGTAAAAATACAGTTCATCCTGCATGTATGGGGTTGTATAAGCAGTAGACATCAATAAATATATTAATCCCTAGGTATTATGTTTGTCTAACTTGGTTTGGTATGTTTCTATCCTAAAAGTATAGAAGTTTAATTTAGGCAGGAATATGTCACAAGCATGGCAGAAGCTCATCAATATGAACATATTATATTTTGGATCCCTAGATCTATATGAGCTAGTATTTTCTCTTTTGGCAGGTCAAGGCAACTGATGGTGGCACCCCACAGCTTTCCTCCAGTGTGAGGCTTCACATTGACTGGATCCCAAAGCCCTTTCCCTCCTCAGAGCCATTAGCTTTTGATGAACCTCATTTCAACTTTGCAGTCATGGAAACAGATCCTGTGAACGACATGGTGGGAGTGATCAGTGTTGATGCTGGGCTCAGCCAGATCTGGTTTAATATCACAGGTGAGAACATGTGCAGTTGAGAAAGGAGCTTCACAATGATTCTGAACTGAAAATAAATTTTGCTCATATGCTCCTGCTATTTCATATCCATAGGGGCCCGAGCTAAAAAAAGGGTGTTGATATTGTAGGTGGCAGGAGTATTATAAAAAAAAGCTTCAGCACTGATATGAAGCAGCATTCAAGCTGATAAGAGTTCCATGAACAGTGTGGTGTAACCTTTTGTATTACAGTACCCATCACAGCTTGCAACATGACATGGCTTGGCAATGTTTCAATCTTAATGAAAATTCTACTGTTTTCAAACAGGTCAAAACACATATTGTGGCTCTCGTGCAATATGTAATAACCATGCTTATTTCCCATAACAATAAAAATAAATTACCTAAGGGGGCAGGGGAGGAGGAGGGAAAAACATTTTTGGAAGATTGTATTGAGTTAATCTGCTGCATTTGACTGTTCCCATGTTTCTTGTTCCCCTCCTCCATTGTTTTGGCCAACTAGTCTTTACTTTTTCTGTAAACAGACAGAAACAAACATCTTACAGCAAATTGATTTCTTATACAAATGTATTTATCAGTGGGAATTGTTTGCTTTACATATTTGGTGCATAATTTTGTTATCAACAGTGATCTCTTTGTCACTAGGTAGTGATTAATTATTTTAAAAAAAATTAAGAACTCAATACTCTAAAAATGACCTGAATTTTTCCCAAAATCTATGTGATAGCCATCTATGATTATTAGTCCAGCATGTTGAGGCAGCAGCCACCCAAAATCCTTAGGCAGTAGGCAGTCCCAACACAATTAGAAGGAGCCAGGTTGGAAAAGGCTGTAATTGACCAACAATGTTCCCATTGTGGAAGGATTATTTTGTTATTGTGGATGAAAATTAGAAGCTGGGCTGTATCTAATTTCAGTAAATGCCATGTAGTAATGCAGGAAATACAGAAACAAAGTGGTAAATTCATTTGTATAGTATAGGGATGGGTAATATTTTGGTAGCCATGGGCCACACTTAAGGGGAATATGGTGTTTTCTTGGCCTTTAATTGTGAAGTGGATTCTTAAGGACTTATCCTATCATTTTCCTTCACCAGAATATCTATTTTCAGCAAGTACAATCATTGGATCTTCCAGAGACATACAATAGCATATAACATATGCAGTAGAATGGAAAAAACTGGGGTTCATATTTTTATCTCAGAAGCTACACTAACTGGATGGTTTTATCACTAATTGCCCAACTTGAGCCATGGAGTTGATAACAAGTGAATTACTTAACTTCATTTACTAAAAATGGGGTAACTTCACTTTTGAGTTAAGGAAAAATAAGTAGTAAGATTTCTAGATTGACGCTGAACTTTTAAAAATACACAGTTCTAAGTAGTTCCACACTAAATAAATTAGATTGGTTTTTTTGTTTTTATTTTAGAATCTGGAAATAAAATACAAATTGTAGAATTAAATACAGTCAAGGAGATAATTCTATGCATCTGGTAAAAACTAAGTCAACATTCATGGGATGACCCCTTCTCCCAACATAAAATGAATATAAGAAACTTTTTAATCAAATTATTTCACGGAGTATAAATAGGATTTTTAAAGTATGTGTATACTTAGTATATAGTATAAAGCATTCTCTATGGGAGGGGTCCCCAACTCCCAGCCCACAGATTGGCATCAGTTCACGGTTTATCAAGAACTGGTCCACACAAGTGTGTGAAGCCACATCTGCGCATACATGCAATCCAGGGAGTGTGTGAAACTATCACCACTCTGGTCCATGGAAAAACTTTCCTCCATGGAACTCAATAGGTTGGAGGCTGCTGCTCAATAGCATATAGAAAGTCCTATCATTGGTCTTCCACAAACCCCAGCTTTACATAACAACATTAATGTAATGTAATATTAATTCAGTTTACAGTATGTTCTTGCATTAAGCTGCTTACTTTTACTAAAGGATTTGTCTCAAAGATACATTTTTAGCAGAGTGAATTTGCTCTTATTCCCAGAATGGGACTAGATCAGTTTTCTTCAGTTACGGCCTTCCAGGAAGGTTGAAACTCCAACTCCTAGGCGCCTAAGCCAGCATGACTTGGCATTTGTGGAAGGTGTATTTCCCATACATCTGGAGAACGAAAGGATAACGAAGGCTAGGCTATATTTTCTTTGAAAATTGGAATTTGGAACCAGAATTTCCAATTTCCATTGCTGAGAGAAGGCTGTTGTTAAGTCAGTTGTACCTGATATTACAATCTTTAAGTAAATCGCTGCACTTCTTAAGTAAATCATGCAGTTGTTAAGCCAATCCAGTTTCCCCCATTGACTTTGCTTGTCAAAGTCGAAAGCCAGCTGGAAAAGTTGAAAATGACCCCAGGACACTGCAATCATCATAAATACATGCCGGTTGCCAACCACCCAAATTTTGACCTTATGGGACTGTGAGGATGCTGCAATGGTCATAAGTCACTTCTTTCAGTAATGTTGTGATTTCAGATGATCGCTAAATGAATGGTTGTATATTGAGGACTTCCTGTATTTAATTATTGTGCCATCAGTATCATCCTCAATGAGGTGAACAGTACTTACCCATACACATCTGCCTTTTTTATTCATCCAATTTAATCTGTGTGGCTACAGAGGGGTATGAAAATCAACATCTCTAAAGGAATCATTTTTGTAAACTTTCTCTGAGCTTTTGCCTTCATCACAGAGGTCAGAAGGAGCAGTGAACCTTTACATAAGTAAATTGTATGGCAGAAAGGAAATTAGTTGATTGTGGGGAATTGGTTTGTTTGGAGCAGAATCTAGCAAAACCAGTAGCACAGACTTACATACCACTTCACAGCTTTACAGCGTTCTCTAAGCAGTTTACAGAGTCAGCATATTGTCCCCAACAATCTGGTTCCTTGTTTTACTGACCTCAAAAGGATGGAAGGCTGAGTCAACCTTGAGCCTGGTGAGACTCGAACTGCTGGTAGCAGGCAGTCAGCAGAAGTAACCTGCAGTACTATATTCTAGCCACTGCACTATGACTCAACATTGTAGTTTGCATTATAGGTAGCCCTTGACTTACAACAGTTCAATTAGTGGCAGTTCAAAGTTTCAACAGCACTGAAAAAAGCGACATATGGACATTTTATGCCGAGGTGGCGCAATGGTTAGAGTGCAGCACTCTAGGCTACTTCAGCTGACTGCTAGTGGCAGTTCGAGTCTCACCAGGCTCAAAGTTGATTCAGCCTTCCATCCTTCTGAGGTGGGTAAAATGAGGACCGAGATAGTTAGGGGCAATATGCTGACTCTGTAAACCAATTAGAGAGTGCTGTAAAAGCACATGAAGTGGTATATAAGTCTAAGTGCTAAGTGCTATTGCTATTTTTCACAGTTACAACCTTGGCAGGATCCCCATGTGATCAAAATTAAAGGGAAAAGGGAAAGAGAGCATGCCTGTTACAAATTAATTTTACCTTTGTGGCAGTTTCGCAAAGCCTGAAATTGGGAATACAGAAGGAAATGTAACCATTACTTGCATGCTGTGTATGTACTGAGGAATCAATATTCTTTTACAGTATAAAATGAACTTAATGGTCCTATGAGAGACTATTTCTTAGAGTAAGCACATTTTATTGTGGAAATATCATATAGTGTATCAGTATAGTACATTTTGTAGTACATTAGTATAGTAATATATTTTTTTAAATTAGACTGTATCATAGTAGCATCTGAATGCATGCCGTCCCCATTCACTCTCTAATGTAAGGATGCTAGGTTGATTTCCAACTATCCTGCTACCTTTGGACTAATTATTTGCCCCTGCCTCTTGACCTTTTGACCCTAGGACAAGGCTTTCATTGCATGAGCATTTCTGTATAAAAATGTGATATGTGAAGTACTGTATTTTTCAGAGTATAAGACACACCTTTTCCCCCCAAAAAAGAGGGTAAAAAACTGGATGTGTCTTATACACTGAATACAGCATTTTTGGCCTACCAAAACCCTGCCCCCTTTGCAAAAATGGATGTACAGAGGCCTTGGGAAACTTGCAAAGTGCTCCTGGGAGCTGCGGGGGGGGGGCAAAAACGAGCAAAAAATGAGCCGAGTGCAGAGTGCAAAAACTTTCTTTTTAATTTACCTTTTCAAAATCATGGTGCATCTTATACTCTGGTGTGCCTTATAGTCCGAAAAATATGGTAGTTCTGTAAAACAGAGACTAAAATAATTAAACAGGCTTATGTATCTAAACAAAGTTTTCTTTCTAAGTGTGCCTTTGTGTCTCTGAAAGAGTGTGTTGCATGCCATGTAGTGTGTAATATAAAATTCAAATATAAATACAAGGCAGGGAAATAAATAATCTTTATTTCAGAAATTGGCAGAGCAACCCTCTGATTTTTCTTCTCCAGGAAGAATCATGTGGGAGGGAACAAAAAGTTTTGGAATATAGTCTGTTCAACATTGTATGGTTTTTCCAGGAAATATGGAACTTTCCTATTATTGCTGTATGGGAGACTGCGAAGCTAATTCATCATATTGACCGTAATTTCCAAATTTTGTGCCTCCCTTTACCCTTTCATCCCTTTCACTTGCCTCCTTAAACATTTGTACAAGTTAATGTTCTTACCTGTCTGCTCAGATAAGTCAGCTGCACATGTTCATTCTCACAAACATCACAATGCAATATCCTTTAGCCTTTTTTGTTTGTTTGTTTGTTTTTCCTATTATGTCTTCCTATAATGAACATTTGCTTGATGTTCGCTTTCTTGAGTTTTTCCCTTTTTACACCTTAAATCATTACTGAAAAAGCAAAAACATTTTGTACAGGGGACATATTTTTTCCCCAGCATTCAAAACAATTACTTCCCTTCCTTATGCGTTATGCTTCCATGGTTGTTTGAATTATATGAGACATTCATTTATGAGTCAAATAGACAATCATTGATTACGACTGTTTTCTCTCCCCACACCCACTGTTATTTTCTATACGGCACTTAGCACACTCCATTTGAAGTATATTTTTTAAAATTTAGAGGCTACGTACTTCCCCCCTCCTTTTTTAAAAAAAAAGTAAGGCCATTTTCATGGTCAAGAAAGACTGCTTATACTGTCCTATTTCTGTTGTGGGGATTGTTTAGCAGGAGTGTGTTCTTTCCTTCCCCCCCCCCTCCCTTCTCTCTCTCTTAAGGAATCTCTCAATAGGGCAGCTGATAGTAATTCCTCAGGTTGTCCTTCAGCTTTCTTTTACTGCTGCAACTATGCTCTTGGATGCATAGAATTTGGGTTCTTGACTCCGTTTGATTAAGAATGGGAAAATCAAATGCTGCCTAATGCCTGGGGTATTCAGAAATAAAACAGTCAGACGTTGCCTAGTTGGAGTAATGAAACATCTGCAAGAAAACAACCAAGCCCAGAGAGCACCATCAGACAGATTCTCTGCACACCTAAATGTTCACTCGCACATACACACACAGAGTGCCCAGTTTCTTCCATTAAAGAATTACAAAAAAGGAAATCAGCAGGAGGATGGACTGAAACAGGAAACAGGGCAAGCCTCAACAGGGCATAAGCAAGAGAACGGAACTGGCTTAAGCATTGCACCTTGAAGTGGAGCCAGAATATATGCTCTCTCTGCCAGTTTTCCCCAATATTCCCTGCTCTCCTGTCTTTCACTTGTTGATATCAATCTCCTCCCTTTACCTTAAGTGACACTGCATTACAAGTAGACATTACCTTCTTAAGTCAATACTGGATATAAAGTAAATAAAGATCAGTGGTGACAATAGAAACCTTTCACAGAGATTTCCCCACCCAACTTTTATGCCATTCTGCTTCCTCCCTCTAAATGTTTCTAATCAAACTCCATGAGTGAGCTTGTTACAAATGCTGCCAACAGCAAGGATTACTTTCCTCTGGTCCTCCCCAGGAGAGGATGATGTTCAGACATCTAGCCTCCATCATAATTCTTTATTTCTAAAGTCCTCCCTCTCTTCTAAGGTGGTGATGATGCTATGAATTTTGACATCGAGAAGAGCACTGGCAGCATTGTTATTGCTAGAACTCTAGATGCAAAGGAAAGATCAAACTACAATCTCACCATAGAGGTCACAGATGGATCAAGCATCATTAAGACACAGGTCAGTGCCACAAAGTCTAATTCAAAGTCCAGTTCGGTAATATGAACAACATTTTCATAATTGTCTGTATATAGTGCTCACTGTAACATTTTTCTTTAAAAAGTGGTAGATATTCAAATGCCAATTGAATTATTGCCTCAAATTGAGGGTTAAATGTTCTCTAAAACAATCAATTTACCCAGTTTTCATGATCTGGTGGATTTGAACCAGTCAACAAAATATTGTCTATAATATAATCTCATTTGAGGAAGAAGGGTCCAAACTACTATTGGTCATTCACAAATAAACAACAGAGAGATATCCTTACTCGGAGATTCTTTCCTAAATTTCTACTTCAATAATTGATGATTGGAAATCCAAAAGGATTGCAAATCTACTACAAATCCACTTCTAATTTCAGACTCTGCCAAGATCCATTGACTGTGAGGAAGGTGAAGTACACATCTGGTTTCCTTGTTTTACTTCTTTCCTCATATATGACCAATGCATGTTCCAATAAGCCGCTTCAATAGAGCCTTATCTAACTGGAATTATAGCATGGGTTCCATCTCTGACTATTGTCTTCTTTCATGGTAGCTGAGGACTGAAGTATATAGAAGTTTGCTTGTATAGAGATCTTTTAAGAAAATATCTAATCTGATTATTTGCTCCTTTAACCAATAATCTAGTTTGATCATTAATTTATTAAGGGCTATGAACATAATATATAATGTAGAAAAATGTTATATATTAGGGTAATCAATACTGAGAGTGCCTTAGGTCACTGTCATTTTGAATGTCTTAAAACAGAGGTCTTCAAACTTGGCAACTTTAAGACTTGTGGACTTCAGCTCCCAGAATACTGGGAGTTGAAGTCCACAAGTCTTAAAGTTGCCAAGTTTAGGGACCCCTGTCTTAGAACTTTAGAACTTAGAACTGCTACCAAGATTCATCTTTGGATATCTTGGCTAACATAACAATTCCAGTCCCAGGAACTTCTTTCTCTGCTTACTTTAACATTTATTATTGGATAGGTAGTGAACCTGCTATTGCAAAATCATGGGGTTGGGTTTTATTGAAGAAAAGAAGTCCTTTTCCAAGATGGGTCCCAGGAAATGTGCTTTCTTTGAAATGTTGCCTCTAAAATATCCTCTAAATTCACACTGCCCCAAGCTTGTTGTCTTTCAAGCAAATCTTGAAGACCTGGCTCTTCCCTCCCACCCTGGGATGAAATTCTATTTCCATTGGTTGTTTCTTATATAATTAGGCCTTATCCTTTTTAGTTTTCAATATTTTTACTCAGGTGTAGTCATCTTATGATGCATGGTGGGGAGGGGAGGGCATTACCAGTTGTTTTTATAATAAATGCCTAATGCTAGTTGAGTTGTGCAACTCCATACATTTCATAAAACAAATAAGCATTCTTTAATTTGATACTTGCTTCAGGGTAAGTATATTGAGGCAGCCAAACCAGTCACTGCTCTATATTCATTTTGTTTCTTCACCAGCTGCTGATTTCTGGCATCATTTCATTCTTCCTCTTTCTCCTTTACTATTACCATCTCAGTGTAGTTTGGCTAAGTTCCATTTCATTTATCTACTGTAATAAGCTAGATGATTTAATTTTGGGATGAAGTCCTGATATCATTACAATATATATTGTGCCATCAAATCAAATCAAACTGAATACCAGCATCTGTCATCTTGGGATATCTGCCAGACCACCAGAATTTGAAACTTGCCTTAGGCTCATTTTATTATCTTCTTATGCAATCAGGTGCTTACAAGTACAGTAGAAGCTAGATTTAGCTGCCATGGTAATGTTTGACCAAGGTATAGTACTGTTAGCAATTCCTCATGCAGATTCTCAAACCCTAAAGATGACTTACCACAAGATGCATTGTGCAAACTCCCCTCTTCCGCGAACAAACTGGAACTGTTCTGCATTAATTCATCAACAAAAATCACAGCAGCAAATAAGGTGACATGAATTTGTACATAAATAAGCATGAGAACTGTGAGAATAAGGAAAATCAGATAAACATCAGAAAGGGGGGAAGTGGAAGTGTCATCATTGGGAATTTGTTTGCATAGTGTTTCCGTACAAATACACTTTTGAAGCAGTTTGCTCAAGGTAATGGAAACCAAGGAAAAAATTTGAAGGCTCGAAAGTGAACAATAGAAACACGTGTTTTAGGAATTAATTTAACTCATGGAACAGACCATGCACACAAATTGTGTATCCGAAGCCATCTTAAAAGATTTTTAAAAGAGTTTTACAGTATTTGACCTATGAGAGATGGCCACTTGGCCACAGCAAGATCGTTCATTTTGAAATGGTGACTATTCACCTTGCTGAATCATTCAATTCATAGTAAAAGTATCAGAATGGCAAAAGAAGAAAATAAGTAATGGAAAAGTTGCTTTCTTAAGCAGCACTTCACTTGTACCATCATGGAAAGGAGACGCTTATGTAGTCCTGTTATTGACCTTCTCTACTGCTTGCTTTTTGTCCACTTATCATAGGCTTACATCCATGTGATTGACATTAACCAGTATCCACCACGGTTTTTGGAGTACCACTATGAGGCTCACATTCCAGAAGACACGCCTCCTGGGACAGAATTCCTGGGCGTCAGTGCAGCGGACCAAGATCATGGGAAAGGATTGATCTACACCCTCCATAGCAGCTTAGATCCTAGAAGCCTGAAACTCTTTCAAATAGACCCAAGCCGTGGCACGCTTGTGACGGTATCAGACCTTGATGCTCAATCCATGCCATTACATACTTTGACAGTGATGGTACGTGAGGAGCAGAAAATACGTCATTTATTTATTTAATTTCTATCCTCTTCTGTCTTACCATATGGGCTGTGGGCAGATTGCAGCAGGGTTTCTAAAGTGTGTTTGTTACATCCAATGATTTTTTTTTAAAAAAAAAGGTGGCTAAAATGAGAAGGAATGCATTCAGAATTATACTGCAAACTTAAATCTTATTTGTGATATAAGATTGTTTGAACAAAATATCTGTGGTTGATTCGTTGGTTGTTCAGGTACGAGACCAAGATGTCCCTATCAAGAGAGACTTTGCCCGAATTGTCATTCATATTGAGGGCTGTAACAGTCACGCTCCACAATTCACCAGCCTCCATTATAAAGCAGAAATTCTGGATGTGTCTCCGATTGGCACAGAAGTTGTGCAAGTCCGTGCCCTGGATCCAGATCAAGGAGTTAATGCTGAAGTCCACTATTGCTTTGAAGCAGGTGAGGCACCTATACGCACTGCCTTTTGAAAAAAACTTATATGTGTATGTGTTTAACTACATCAATGATATATGTCAGCTAAGCATATTGTTCTGAATCTTCTATATATATTAAATATTAAGTAGAATAAGAAAATTAGAGCCAAGTGGTCCATGAATGCATTCTGTTTTTTCCTTTCTTCTAACCCCTAACACTCATCTTCTGAACCAAAGGGCACATTTGCTGTTAATATTTGGGGGCTTCCTATTTTGGGCTGATGTTTCTTGACTCAAAGCATCAAATCATGTACAGACTAAGTCCCTTTGGTATCATTTCCCCTGGTTCTATGCCCCTCTCACCTTTCTGTATTCTGGAAACCAAACGCCAGTTACTTTCCTTTCAATGGGCAAGTTTTCCTGAACATACATGCTCTATGGGGAGGTGCGCGTGCATGCCTGTGCCCGCGCACATGTGTGTGTGTGTGTGTGTGCCTGTGCATATGTGTTTGTAAGAAACAGAGATAAATTAAAGTTATACACAAATTGAACTTACATGACAAAGTTCAGAGTAGAAGACTTCAGGCCCCAAATAGTCCATAGGTTGCTTGACTTACCTGAAAGCAGACAGTGAAAACTGATCTCAAATGACCGTAAAGTCAATGAAATGGCACAATTGCACTATAGGAAATAAATAAATAGAAAATATAAATAGAAAAGGGAGATGTTGAGAAAGAAAATAAGAGAAAGAAAAAATCCAGCTAGATTTTAAACCAGCAATGTTTGGAATACAAAATAAAAGTTTTACTGTAGCAACAGTAAAAAGGATAAAAAGAGAAGTCAAACAGCTATTAGAGTTAATGCTAAGGATTGGCTCATTTTGAAGAGATGATCTTTCCTTTGCAAAGTATCCAGTGAATGGCTGATTTTCAGCTGCAGAAAAACCAGTGTTTTGCTCAATCAAAAAGGAACAGTCAGGGCAAAGGAGAAAAACCATACATTTGAATTAAAGCAGGGAAATGTGTGAGGAGCTTACTTTCAGAGTGACTGGAGTATTGACAGAGGGTGACGCCATTTTTTTCTGCCTTCCAGAATTGTTTGCTGGAGATATTTTGAGAACAGAGTAAGAAAGTGAACAGACCTGCTTAAAGACAACTGTCTCTGATAGTATCAGTGTCTCCAAAGTCATCAACTGGTACACTTTAATTTATTTAAGAGAGAGCTTAGTGAGTGTGGTGCAATGACATCATCAAAGCAAAGGGCTAGAGCCAGAATATTCAGCTTGCATTGTTGTTTTTGCTTTCAGAAGAAATGGGTACATTCATGCAGGAGAAATGTAATATACTTATTTTCCATGTCTTTAATTTTAAAAAGACCAAATTGGCCCCTCCCAAAAACGGCAACACAAGACTTTTTTATCACTTAGAAAAAAATCTACTTCTTCCCAGGGACTTTTTTTTTAAAGGTACATTTAAGTATAACAAATTAGTATGATGGAAAACAATAAACATTGTAGAATTCAACTATGCTTTTTCATTTAAGATTTGTTTGTTTGTTTGTTTTCAGGGAATAACAATGACTTTTTCACCATCAACAAGTTATCTGGAATTATTACAGTTTCTCAGAAGTTAGATCAATCCAAGCAAGAAAGATTTACTCTCACAGTAAAAGCAGAAGATCAAGGATTTCCCCAGCTGAAAGATTCAACTACTGTGAACATTTATATTAAGCCTTCTGATGCTACTCCTCCACACTTTACAGAAGAAGAATATGTTGTAGAGATCAGTGAATCTGCAATCATTGGCTCTCCAGTAATCCTTGTTTCGGCTACAAGCTCTTCATTTGTTACTTACGAAATAAAAGCTGGAGATAAAGATGGCTTCTTTTCTATCAATTATCAATCTGGACTTATCTCTACCCAGAAGAGCTTAGATTTTGAACAAACTTCATCTTACCAACTGAAAATTCGGGGCACCAACATGGCAGGATCATTTACGGATGTTCCAGTGTTTGTTTATCTCATAGACCAAAATGACAACCTGCCTATCTTTGATAAGCCTTCTTTTATTGGTTGGATCGATGAGAATATTCCATTTGGTAGCATAGTTATGGATGAAAACAATGTACCACTAGTGATAAATGCAACAGATGCTGACCAAGATTCTAATGCTTTGTTGATTTATGAAATTTTGGAGACAGAAGCCGTGACCTTTTTCAAAATAGACCAAAATGTGGGCACTCTTACTACTTGTGCTGATATAGATTATGAACATAATGCAGTTTTTCACTTTGGTGTCCATGTACATGACAGTGGCAACCCCATTTTGTTTGCTTCCAAACCTGTTCAAGTCACCATTTATATCAGAAATATAAATGACTGTCCCCCAGTATTTACCAAAAGTTTGTATAACCTTTCTGTGATACTTCCTATTCATGATGGTATGGAACTTTTAAAAGTTAATGCAGAAGATGCAGACTCTGAAGTAATCTACGATATAGCTGAAGGGAACCCTACGAATACTTTCTTCATCCACAAAACAACTGGTGTTATCTCTGTGCTAAATCATACTAATGTAGGAAACTATCATGAACTTACAATTAGAGCTGGAGATGGTTTATACGTGGCCAGTACATTGGTCAGACTACATTTTACTGAACCGCAGGACAGCATTTTAAAGTTTGATCAAGATGTGTATTTAGCTACAGTAAAGGAAAATTCCACAGAAGTTCAGATTATTATTGTTCTTGGTGTTATTGGGAATCAACTGAATGAACCACTTCTTTACTCTCTCTTGAATGGCACCGAGTGGTTCAGAATGATTCCATCTTCAGGAGTGCTACAGACCAAGAACGTGAAGTTTGATCGTGAAATTCAAGATGTGTATGAAATAGCAGTGGAAGTAAAAGATATTAGAAATCCACCGGGGGTATCTCAAGCAATTGTAAGAATAATAGTGGATGATATTAATGATAATCCACCCCAGTTTGAAAACCTACCTTATTATATAGCAATACAGGCTAGCACTGAGCCAGGTGATATTATCTTTAGGGTTTCTGCAACAGATCAGGATCTGGGAAATAATAGAGTCATTTTTTACTCCTTTGTAGATGACTACCAGCTTTTCTGGATTGACCCCCATTCAGGAGACATCTCACTCAAAGGACCACTTGATTTCCAAACTTTAAATAAATACACACTGAGTGTTATTGCCCGAGATGCCGGTGAGCCTCCCTTGTATGCTGAGGAAGAGATTACCATAATGGTAAAGAACAAATCTAGCCCCCTGTTCCAAAATCTCTTCTATGCTGCAAAGGTGCCTGAAAGCAGTCCACCCTACACACCCATTCTCCACCTCCAGGCCCGAAGCCCTGAAGGCTTACGCTTGATATATAACATTGTGGAAAAAGACGCTCTCAGACTCTTCCATATTGATTTCAAGACTGGCATGCTTATGGCCACAAGCCAACTGGATTATGAATCTGATACAAAACATACGTTTACTGTCAGAGCTACAGAAACAGCAGCGGGTTCCTATTCAGAAGCCATTGTGGAAGTTCATGTTGAGGATGTCAATGATAATTTTCCTTTATTTTCACAGACTGTTTATACTGTGTCTGTCTCAGAAGATGTGCCAGCTCATACCCCTGTAATTCAGCTCTTGGTTACTGATCAAGATTCAGGGTTGAACAAACTCGTTTCGTATCAAATTTTAGAGGATCGCTCGGATGCCTCAAAGGTCTTTAGCATTGATGGCACCACTGGTGAAATATCAACAACTCGGGGTCTAGATTATGAAATGAACCGTGAATTTCATATTAAAGTGAGAGCCATGGACCATGGGCTGCCCCCACTCAGCAGTGAAGTTGTTGTGATAGTCAACGTGCTAGATATCAACGACAACCCACCGAAATTCAGTCAACTTCAGTATCAGGCTAATGTGAGTAAAATGGCCAGCTGCAGTCAGGTTGTCGTAAAGGTCCAGGCTTTTGATCCTGACATCAGAGATACTCCTAGACTGGAATATATGATACTTTCAGGAAATGAGAAAAGGCATTTCACAATTGACAGCACTTCTGGTATCATTTCTACACAAAACCACTGCAAAAAAAATCTGGAATCTTTTTACAGTCTTAGGGTTTCTGCTTCGGATGGAGTTTTTAAGACTACTGTGCCGGTCTACATCAACACAACTAACGTAAACAAATATAGCCCAGCATTTCAGCAGGATGTTTATGAAGCCGTATTAGCTGAAAATGCAAAAGTAGGAACTAAAGTGATTGAGCTGTCAGCTATTGACCCAGATGATGGCCCTTATGGCACCATAAGTTATATCATCATAAACAAGCTTGGTCAAGAGAAATTTCTAATAGACGACAAGGGGCGCATTGAAACATTGCAGAAACTGGACAGAGAAAATTCTACAGAAAGAGTTGTTGATATTAAAATCATGGCCAAGGATGGGGGAGGAAAGGTGGCGTTTTGCACTGTCAAAATAATACTTACAGATGAAAATGACAATCCACCTCGGTTCAAAGCTTCTGAATACTTTTTGTCTGTCCAGTCCAATATGAGAAAGGGGTCTCCAGTCATTCAAGTTTTAGCTTATGACGCCGATGAAGGAGTAAATGCTGATGTCACCTACTCTGTTGATACAGTGGAGGAAGTCATTGCAGACGATGTGATTGAGATTAACACTGTCACAGGTGTTGTCGTAGTCAAGGAGAGTCTCAAGGGACTAGAAAACAGAACAGTGAAATTTAGAGTCAAAGCTGAAGATGCCAAGCCTCCCCACTGGCATTCAGTTGTCCCAGTGAAGCTTCAAGTTGTTCCAAGGGAAGTGTCTTTGCCAAGATTTTCTGAGCCATTATATACCTTCTCAGCATCTGAAGATCTCCCAGAAGGTTCAGAAATAGGATTAGTTCGAGCTATAGGAAAAGAACCCATCATCTACAGTCTGGTAGAAGGAACCTCTGCTGAAAGTAATGAGGAAGAGATATTCACTTTGGATAAGCAAACGGGGGCCCTGACTGTTCAGAAGGCAATGGACTATGAAAAGATGAAATGGTACCAAGTAGATGTCTTGGCTCATTCTTCATATAAGAATACCAAGTTGGTCTCTTTAGTATCCATAAACATCCACGTAAAAGATGTCAATGATAACAAACCTATTTTTGAAGCAGATCCTTACAGAGCTTTTGTTATGGAGAACATGCCAGCAGGGACTCCTGTGATTCAGGTAACTGCTAACGACCAGGATACTGGAAGTGATGGGCAAGTGACCTATAGCCTAGGATCAGAATTAAGCTACATCAGAGATCTCTTCACCATTGATAGTGAAAATGGCTGGATTATGACCCTTAAAGAACTAGACTGTGAAGTTCAGAAAAGCTACAGATTTTTTGTTGTGGCTTCAGATCATGGAAAGAAGATCCAACTTTCTTCTCAAACTCTAGTAGAAGTCACTGTCACTGATGAAAATGATAATGCTCCAGAATTCTCCAAAATTTTTTACAAAGGATCGGTTGTTGAGAATGCTGAGCCTGGGCAGATGATTACCATTCTTAATACTATTGACAGAGATCTTTCAGAAGAAAATAGACAGGTTGTGTGTTACATCACTGGTAAGTATCTATATTTTTTTAAATTTGGTAACAAAGGGAGAGGGTGCTTTGGATAAATTTACTTAACTTTGAAAAACACCCTTTTCTATAAATTAATCTTGCTGATATCCCTGCAGTTCGAAATGTAAAATGATTTTCATTGTTAACAATGGCCATTTGATGTTACATATGTCTTATCGGGAGATATTTTGAGACCAAATGTGTAGAGAAATAACTACATGCCGATATTCCTAGAAACAGTATTTTCTTATATAGAGATTTTCTACACCAGGCTCAATAATTGCTCTTAAGAAAAATTCTGATCTAAAATGCATTATGATTTAATTGTGTGACATTTATCTGACTCTAAAACATCATTGCTCTTAGTCAAATGCAGCTACATTATTTTGAATCTGCAGTTTTAATTCCAGTCCTGAATTAAATTTCTGATCAACGATCAAAAGTTAATTATCTATCTATGGTAACTCTTATGTCAATTGTATACTCTAACCAACTATTATAGGTGTCTTTGCATGATAAATATAAACTATGGAGGCACATTTTATAATTTGTGATTTATTCAGCACACATATAGAATAGAACTAAGAAGAATTGCATTTCACTGTAATATAACAAATAAACCATTTTGCAAATTGTCAGTGTAGACTGAAACATTGTCCAGCATACTAAACAATGGTTTAGTCAGTTCTCTATGTAACTTTGTAATTAATCTATAGTCAGTATCTATTATAAAATTGTCCCTATCCAGAGAGTGAAGGATAATAAAATAGCTGCTTCAGCGCATACCATAATCAGTCGATTCAATCTCCTGGTTAAATGTTATGAATTAATAGAATCAATTATCTATATGATATAATTTGCCCCAGAGCAAGTACATTTTCTGGTTCTGCACATAACATGGGTGAGCAATATCCAGAAGGCTCCAGGTATATGCCTCTTTCTGTTATCTTGAAACCTGAAACACTTCTTTTTTTTTTCATAACCATATATTCTCTTATCTTATCAGAAGGAGATGTTCTGGGGCAATTTGGTGTCAGTGAAGTTGATGGGAAATGGAAGGTTTTTTCCAAGAAGTCTCTGAACAGGGAAGAAACAGAAAAATATCTGCTCAGAGTCATGGTATCTGATGGAAAATTTCAAGCAGCCACAGAAGTGGAGATTTTAGTCCTTGATGTTAACGATAACAGCCCTGAATGCAAGCAGGTAATTGTAGATGTATGTAAAAGACTTCATTCTGAAATTATACAAGCATGTATGTGCAGGCTCTATATTGATATGGTGCCAGAGTTGACCTGGACAACTCACAATTATGGAGCAATTATTTGAATAATTACATGTCTGCACAAATCTTCTATTAGTTGCCCTTTTTGGAGGATTCATGAATTATTATTACCTGGGAATAACATAATGTTGGATAGCTTTAGGATAGCAGGAAGGAGCCCATTTGTAACACTTCAGTGTTATTGGTTAACGAACAGGTATATTGTGCACATGGCTTAGAGTTAACCTTTTAACTTGGTAAAATATTTTTTTTCCTTTCCAGGTACTATACGAAGGGAAAGTTACAGAGGATGCATCCCAAGGATTTTCTATTCTTAAAGTGTTGGCTACAGATGTTGATGCCGGTAGCAATGGTCAGATCACTTACAGCCTACATGGCATTGGTGCTGAGGTTTTTAGACTGGACTCTCATACAGGTAAAATTATTACATCCTTTTAAAGGAGCAGTTTTGCTGTTCATACTCATTCCCTTACCACATATTAGAATGAACAATATAGTTTGCTCCTGTTTACTATAAAGCAGAGGTAGGCAGACTTTTCGGTGTATCTTGAAGATTTCTTCAGTTGAAATATTAAGACTGGTATTTCTCTCTTGATTGGCATAAATATGTTCTCATATTGTAAAATGTTGGTAGGATTTTCCCTTAAGAAAAGTATTTAATTTAGTGTAAAATATTATTCACTTCTCATGCACCAAAACTCCCTGTAATAGTCTTGCCTGGTGTTTTCCTTCTTGTTCTTAGGATGCAAGAAGACTTTGCATTAAGAAATCGGGTACTACCGATTTCCTTAGGTACTACCTTGTAGAGCTCCTATAAGACTTAAAATAGATGCATTCTTTATGTGAATGAGTATGGGTATTGTTTTTCAAAATAGTCTTATAAAAGATTAGCCCAAATCTGAAAAGTTATTATAATTTATTTAAATTTATTGGCCACCCAATTCCAATGGAAAGACGATTCCTTAGATATCAATCCATAGAATATTATTGTCTTTAGATAATATAATTCTAAAGAGTTCTGTTATTCCCCATGAACAGGGGAATAAAAGATATATATTTTTAACCTTGGGTAAGCATTTATATTTGCATCCTTTTTTCTATTTGCCTGGTTCTATTTCTTAAAATGTTTAAACATGTATAGTTGTGTAGAAGGAATCTTGCCCATAATGGTACCGAAAGCCCTGACCCAAATCTTTGTCTTCCAACTATACTTACTAGGAGAACTGACTACTTCTACATTATTGGACCGGGAACTGAAATCGAAGTATCACCTTGTTGTCAAGGCAACAGATGGAGGAGGGCGTTTTTGCCAGATGGAAATTGTTGTGCACGTAGAGGATACAAATGACAATGCTCCCAAGTTCTATCCCAGTCATTGTGCTGTAGCCATATATGATAATATATCAATAAAAACGCCCATTGCCGTTGTCTTTGCAAAGGATCCTGATGAAAGTAAGTCATTCCCAAATCCTAAGTCATATGCAGTTGTTTTCAATGCTTAAAGATGGCATATTCTTGTTTTTGAGGTTACCTAGTAACTTCTTCTCTTAAATGAATAGATGGTGGGTCAACTTGAAAGATGCACAACAGTTTTCCACATTGGTGACATCTTTATATGTAAACATGTTTTTTTAATAAATAAAGTTGGGAAAATAGTAACAAGTTATAGACCTATTATGTAAGGGGAGGGGAATTTATCAGGTATTCGAGATATATATTTTTAGCATTCAATCAGGGTGGACATTTTATGTTGAATGTTAATGGTATATTTGTTATTTGTTCCACACACTTTTTTATTATTGTACTTTGGTTGTTTTTTATTTCTTTTTTGTTTGTATTTGATACTTTTTTCTTTTTCTTTTGTATTTTAACTTTGGAGATTTTTAAAAAATAAAAAAATAAAATAATCAAGGCAGGTACTAGTTTTCCTTCAGTTTGTCCCATTTCTAAAAGAATAATTCCCGAATCAAGTGAGTTCTTGCATAACGTTTCTCGTTTGATATTTTCCAGGTTTCAATGGCGAGGTGAGATATCACCTTGCTGAGTCAGCTAACGGCCATTTTTCAGTGGATGAGGTAACTGGTGTAGTCCTTCTAGAGAAGCCTCTGAAGGAATCCCCTTCAGTTCTGGAGTTGTCTGTGTTGGCCAAGGACAGGGGGGTTCCACAGTCCCTCTCTTCGTTTACAACTGTGACTGTCTCGGTCGTGGATCTAAAAGAATATCTGCCAGTATTTCTCAGCACAGAATACTTAGTTGAGGTAATGGAGAATGTGTCTGTTGGGACAGAAGTTTTGAATCTATCTACCTTGACAAGAAGTACCGTTGCAAACACAGAGATTAGATATGAAATCACAAGTGGAAATGATCTCGGGAAGTTCAGGCTCCATTCAAGCACAGGTGAGCAAATAATCCAGTCTACCGATTGTTTTCTTATAACAAGATTTATTTTATCCCTGATCTATTTCTTTACTCATTTAATTATGAATGTATCAAGATTTCAGACAGGGAAAGAATTTAGAGAAATGTCAAACTTATTGTTCATTCCTTGCATTCACATTTTAACATTCCTGCTCAAAACTCAATAAATGTTAAAATTTCTAATTAAAATTTTTTATCTGAGACAAGTTGATGTGCCCACAAAGCAGCCTATGTGGCAATCCTATTACCACTAGATGGCACTCACTGACCATCAGGTTTTGGTTGCTGGTTGGTTTTGAATGGTTAAAAAATTTCAAAGTACCCAGTTTTTGTAAGAGTTTGGGCTGTTTTAATTTTGTGTGTTTTTAAAAAAAATAATCTGCTTGTATTCATAGGCCTCCTGTACGTTAATGGAACTCTGGATTTTGAAGTTGCCCATGAATATTATTTAACCATCGAAGGTATAAGAAAAACTTCTACATCTTTCAGTGATGTCACAATGGTTGTGATCAACATCACAGACGTAAATGATCACATGCCAGAATTTGGCCAAGATCTCTATATTGCCAACATCAGTGAGGATGCAGCCATTGGTGAAATAGTGCTCACGGTGAGACATAGTCACAATCAGGGTGGGCCACATTTTGTGGGATGGAAGCCACATTTAACTATGTTGCACAAGAGTCTAACGTTCATGTCTTTCTATCTGGATTTTTGAGGGATGTTCAGGAAGACCTCCTGCTATTAAAACTTACAATTATTCCTACTTTATAGCTTGCAATGTAGTTTGCATTATTTTTGCTCAAAATGACAAGAACCTACACTACTAACTGTTGCACCATCGATAACAGTGGAATCCAGGGAACTTGAAAAAAAAGGCTTCAGGTTCTGCTTGCCCAGGCAAAACTGTTCCTCACTAAAGTCATGCCAAAATAATGAAACATACATTATAACATTATGATGCAACTTCCAAGTTTTTATAGTTACTTTTTTCGCAATACTGTAGGCAACAGCATAAGAGGCAGAGCTTGCTTCATGTCATCATTATATCCATTTTGTCACTGGCACTCCCACTCCCCTTGCTCTGTAGTTCCTATGCCTGCATATGACTTTAGGACTATAGGTTGTCCAAATCAAGACTATGCTGCAACCTCTTTTCTCCTCCGCTCATTCTGTGTTTTGCTATCTTGGACGAACTATGATTTGGAGGATGCATTGAACAGTTGACTCCTGTAAACAGACACATGAAGAAGACAAGAACAGAATGGCATTGTTGAAGTCAAATTGGCTACTGTATCTCTAATTTTTTCTATAGTCAGAGCAGGCTACTACAAACCACTTTGATATTAGAGGGAGGGAGGAAAGGAAAGGAAGATAAGAAGATCAGTGTTGGAAATCCAAAAATTGATGGCATTTACATTAATAATCAATCCCAAAGTTAATAATTTCTTTAAAAAGTTGGAACTGGCATGGTCAAGGGGATTGTACCCACAAAGAGGTTTGTCTGTGTTTGTTGTTATTACTGCATTTTTTAAAATCCTTTTGACAGGTTTTAGCTAATGATGAGGATGGCTCAATGAACAATCACATCACATATTCTATTGTGGAAGGAAATCCATTAGGTCATTTCATGATTGATCCCAAAGCTGGAGAAATCTATACTGCCAAACGCTTGGACAGAGAAGAAGTGAGTAACATGGTTCACTTTGATACCGAAAATAAAATCTCTGAGCTGTAGCTCCACAAGAAATGTTGCAAGAGAAATTCATAATGCCCCTCTCCTGACATAAGAACCAAGAAAGGCCTACTTGCCATTTTTTGACCTTAGAAAGATTCCAGATGCAGCTCTAAAATGGTAGGAAGTTCTGTTTAGTGTGGCTGTGCAAACATTTGAAAAAGATCCAAAGAATCTTTATAATCTTTATAGTGGCCTCACAGATTGATTCAAAAGCTGCTCCCAGTTGCCACTGCATGCGAGTGTGTGTACAGCAATCTCAGCAATTTCTGCACATTACAAAGAACCCTTTTAATTGCTTTGCACAGCCCTGGGAAGGAGTGATATTTGTTAGTTGATGGACTTGGTCATGAGTTTGTTGATTTGGTGCATTACTTCTCCATTTGAGAAGTAGAAAGTACAACTGTTTTCTTTGTTTGGAATCCATTATTGGAATTGATCAATGAGTTATGGGTAGGAAACATGTCATGTAATAAATTCTCATTATTTGTCTGATAGAATTGGGGGGGGAGGTCAAAAAGAAACTAACCATCTGTATGAACTAGAATGCATTATTTAATCACTGTTTGGTTTATATGTTGTATCTCAAACTTGGCAACTTGGGGAAATCTGGGATTTGAATTTCACAAATCTTAAAGTTGCCAAGTTTGAGAAACCCTGGGTTAATAGTGGTTGGAGTTATAAATTTTACAAACATGTGTTATGTATATTTATTTTTTTAGATATCCAGCTATTCTCTCAAAATCCAAGCCATGGACAATGGAGAGACAACTCTTTCCAGTGACACCACTGTACTCATTCATGTGTCTGATGTTAATGACAATCCACCTAGGTTTTTTCAGCTCAATTACAGTGTTGTAGTTCAGGTAAGATAGTCATTCCCAGAGATCAACCTTACCCAATTAGTCTTTTACAGAGTTAATATTGAAAGTTGCCAAGTTAATGATAGGGTTGCCAAAGACCAAGAGATAACAGAAACTTAGCAGCAGGAAGAAATCAGTCAGTTGCAATCACATTAAGGTTTCATTCATTTAAAGGTTGCTACATTGAATAAGATTGGATTTACAGACAGGAATGTACACTTGTGATCAGCATATATCTTATAGCAGTAGTAGACTAAATTCCACAGTCCCTTAACATTCTGGGACATGTTTATTTTGTACATAATAATGACTTTTAGATTAATTTACAGACTTTTCTTCTACATTTTTTAAATCATTCTGTCTTCTGTTGTTTTTCCTCCCAAGCAAAGGAGACTAATTTCTTTTTTCTAACTAATTTGTTTTTCAGGAGAACTCTGCAGTTGGCACCAGTGTTCTGGAGCTAATCATGAGTGACAGAGATTCTCCAGAGAATGGACCACCATACAATTTTCAAATTGTTGAGGGAAATGAAGGAAAGGCATTCCAGATTAACCAGGCTGGAGTGTTAGTGACATCATCCATCCTGAACAGAAGAACAAAGGAACAATATCTTCTGCAAGTCCAGGTAGATTTATGTCTGGATCAAGTTGAAACTTAATAGGAGAAAGTCTAATTGGATCATCTAACATTTTCTTTCTGACAAGGAGTGACCAAGGCAAGATAGATAAGGGGTTGCCAAATTAGCCAGCCATTATGGAAAAAAAATTGTTTAACTCTGTTCAGGGAACATCTGTTCACTACTGTAGACTAAAAGGTAAATGTTCCCCGTGCACATATATGCTAGTCATTCCAGACCCTAGGGGGCGGTGCTCATCTCCGTTTCTAAGCCGAAGAGCCAGCATTGTCCAAAGACATCTCCATGGTCATGAGGTCGGCATGACTAAATGACGAAGGTGCACAGAACGTTGTTACCTTCCCACCAAAGGTGGGTGGGTACTTGCATTTTTTACGTGCTTTCGAACTGCTAGGTTGGCGGAAGCTGGGACAAGTAACGGGAGCTCACTCCATTACACAGTGCTAGGGTTTCGAATTGCCTAACTGCCAACCTTTCTGATGGACAAGCTCAGCGTCTTAGCCACTGAGTCACCTACTCCCCAGCCTCTTTTCAGAAATAAAATGGTAGAATCCAAGTATAGTTTTGGCATTAATTTTCTTTTTAAAAACCCAGTCTTATATTATGACAGTAGACTCAATCAAAATTGGATTTCATTACAGACCCTCTGTTGAAACCTATAGATACCAATAATACTTGAAAATGAAGGCAACATAACATGGAAGCTCATAAGTGCATTTTGCAGATATGGCATTGGGTCCCTTAATTCCCAAAGATATTTTCACTGTATTTCACTATAGCCATGCAAAAATGCAACTAGTATCTTTTCAACATTTTAAATATCCAGTTTACTGTGTAGGTTAGACTTCTTTCATGCTAGTACTGAAAAATGCAAGAAGAACAGAGAGTATGCTAAAGATGCAAGGGTAGCTGTTGTATTGAAATAGATGTTTCTTGAGAGTAATAGCAAGAAAGACATTTTGTTGACTAATGGAAGAAATGGCCTAAATAACAATAGCACTTAGATTTATATACTGCTTCACAGTGCTTTACAGCCCTGCCTAAGCGGTTTACGGAGTCAGCCTATTGCCCCCAACAATCTGGGTCCTCATTTTACTGACCATGGAAGGCTGAGTTAACCTTGAGCCTGGTGAGATTCGAACTTCCAAATTGCAGGCAGCCGGCAATCAGCAGAAGTAGCCTGCAGTACTGCATTCTAACCACTGCACCACCGCAGCGCTAAATGGATCTTTGACAGCAAAAAGTTTGGATTTATTGCCCTGTGTCTTAAATAAGCAAATCAGAAGTGTGTAAGTTATGGTGGTAATAAAGATTCTTTGTAATTTTGTCCAATAGGTTTTTGATAGTGGTCAGCCTCCTCTTTCTTCTTCGGCATTTATAAGCATCTATGTGATACAACAAAGCCAGTACCCGCCTTCCGCACTTCCTCTTGAGATCTTCATCACAACTAATGAACGAACCTTCCGAGGTGGAGTTCTTGGCAAAATCCATGCCACTGATCGAGACCCCCATGATACGCTAGTATATAGCTTTGTGTCCGTAGTCCCTGAAAAGAAGCAATTCTCTGTGGGACTTTCCGATGGAAAAATAATTGCAAACGATGGTCTCCAACATGGCCACTATTCTCTGAATGTAAGTGTGAGTGATGGGACCTTTTCAACCATAACCAGAGTCCAGATCCATGTATGGTCCTTCAGCCAGGATGCCCTCGATAAAGCTGTGATGCTGCATTTCCGCCATCTTAACCCAGAAGAATTTATAAGTGACCACTGGCGCAACCTGCAGCGGTTTCTGGGGAATATCTTAGAGACAAAGCAACGGAATGTCCACATGGCTAGCTTGCAACCTTCAGAGGCTTCTGATGGGGTGGATCTTCTGTTGGCAGTTGGGGAACCTCAATATTCACTCTATAAGCCCAGCTTCATTGCTAACCGGATTTCTCAGTCGACTGAAGAAATGGACCAGCGAGTTGGGCTGCGGGTAAAGAAAGTGACCTATATCCCATGCCATGAGGCCAACTGTATCATTCAACGTGCTTGCAAAGAAACCTTTCAACTTGATCCAGGCACAGTGTTCACTTATAGTACTGCCCGATTCAGTGTGCTCACTCCTCGGCACAGTTTGGAACAGATCTGCTCTTGCAATGGTGAGAAAATATTGCTGTTTGTGATAATCTTTTTCCCTTGCTTTGCAAAATAGATATTGTAATAGTCTCCGGCAGTGCTTGTTATGGTACAATGTCTGGAATGCTTTTATTCTAAACCCTGGCATTTTGTTGCATATTGTTCAGATTGCTAGACTATGTAGATACTTACCTAAGCAGATGGGGGGGGGGAAATATCCCACTCAGTGTCAAAACTGAGTTTAGAGGGAAAAAATGAATTGCTTCCCAAAACTGAGAAAATAGCTAATTTATTACAAATACAGCTTTAACCCTATAGAGTTCCCAGTGGTATACTAGTCAGTTTTGCTGTCTTTTGTCCTATCTCATGACCTTCAAATTATCCTGCACATTTATTCCATAAATAATGGAATGGATAGGAAGCGGGGGGGGGGAGCTCCTTCTACTTCTCTGACATCTGGCAGAGCTGCAGAGCATGCCATACTTGATGGGAAATGTCATTTATTCAATGCTCCTAAGCAATCTTTCTAAGCCAGAGAATATTTTCTGTGCCAAACATTAGTCCAATCTCTCCCTGCTTCCTGTTTGTGATGTGATATGGGCATAATAAAAAATCTTTGAGGTTCTCCTAGGTCCATAGTTCCTGCTCAAAACGCAGGTGGCAGCCATGCTTAGAAGAACCTTGGCACAAATACATCTTGCGCAGCATCTGCTCCCTTTTCTAGGTTGGGAGATACTAATTGTGGTTGTTCATGCCTTAGTCATCTCCCTATTGGTCTGTTGCAAAATGCTGCACGTGGGAATGCTGTAGAAAAGCATTAGGGAGCTTCAACTGGTCCAGAATGCAGGGACGCATGCAATAGTGGGAACACAATGGTATGCCCATGTAACACTATCTACAGGTTCCCAGTAGAGTTCTGAGCACAATTCAAGGTGCTGGTCATTATCTCTGAAGCCCTACATGTCACAAATCCAAGTTATTTATGAGACTATCTATCCCTGATGGTTTCTGTTCATTCTACTAAATTCGGCATGGTGGTTAAGTGACTAGCTGTCTTGCTGAAATAGTTCGGCCTGATGGGATCTTAGAAGTGAGCGTGCTATGATATGGCATATGCTTTATGTATTAGCCTCCGCAGAAAATACAGATGGCCCTTATTCTGATCGCTTCAGACAGTGAAATTCTGGCTTTTCCTCCAGGCAACAGGGCCAGGATATGGATGGAGCCAGCATGGTATGATTAATAGCTACAGTACAAGTTTTATCGCAGCCTTAACATTGTTTTAATATTTTTTTAATTATAATGCAGTTTTGATTGTTGTTTGCTATCTACTGAATAACTTTAATAAACAAACAACACAAAATAAGTTTTTAATGCATTAGCCATGAAGTGCAACTGTTTGCAATTGTTCGTTTTTTTCAGACTAACTTTCTTTGCTTATGTTGTCAGGCACTGCTTTGAGGTTCAGTGGGCACAGTTACATATGGTATCACCATCAAGGCAAACGGGATTGGCAGATGCACTTCCATTTACAAACCCACCAGTCCCATGCCATACTGCTTACTACCAATGGAAGCAACAGTGCTGTCCTACAGGTAGGATTCATCTGTCCTCTGACTGCACAAATCAGCTTTTTCTTGGTCTGCCGTAAAACCACTCCTCAAGACTGACACCAGCACATTGTTTCCTTGCCTCCTGGCTAAGAGTGTTTTCTTATATATAAAATTGCAATTAGCCAAATAATAGGGTAAAGTGAGGGTTTCTGCCAAATATGCCAAGTTCCTCTTACTCTGGTTTCCTGCAAAACCACATTCCTTGAACCTCATGCTGCCACCAAGTAGAAATTTGTGTCTTTCAAATGGAGGGGTTGAATTGGAGAACCCAAAGTTGATTTGGATGTGGTACAGGAGATACATGATCACTAAAAAAATAATAAAAATTATGCAAGAAATATGTAGGAAATACTTGATAAAATAAGTACAGGCAAGGTACCGTATTTTTCAGACTATAAGACGCACCAGTATATAAGACGCACCAAGATTTTGAAGAGGTAAGTAAGAAAAAAGTTTTGGTCCTCCCCGGCCCCCAGGAGCACTTTGCAGGCTTCAGCAGGGCTGGGGGAAGACAAAAATGCCCCTGTTTTTGTGGAAAATGGGCCGTTTTTCATTCGATGTCTGCATCTAAACTCAGTAGGAAGGCCACCTGCATTTGCTGTTGCAGTTTTCACCAGCAACCCTTTAGCATCTGGGGTTCTTTCCTCACTCATTTTCTCTCTTTCTCAATTTGAGTAATATCCTCTACTATCCAGTAAAGTCACTTCTGATTTACACTTTGATTCTTTACCTTCTTTCTATTTTCTTCTCCCACTTCTCTTCCCTTCCCTTTTCTTAATATTTAAATGCCTGCTGTTAAGCATTACATCATCACCATCAAGTGCTTTAAATTTCGCCACAGGCATCCTAAGCTAAACTTGATAGAATATCACTTTTAGAGACATTTAGAGACACCTGTAGAGACATTACATTAATACCTGGCCCCAACATAGGACATAAGCATATAAATTACAAGGTTGCGTCTTGTCATTTGTCCCTCGGCCCCACTCTTTTACATATGCATTTCCAGCTACGAAGTTCAGTCATGAGTTTTAACAGATATACCCACTGCAGATCAGTCAATCTGTCAACTAGGAAAATTCTGAGTAAGCAGTGAAGTAACCCTTCTGTAAGCACCTTGAACATTATGCCATTATGCCTACTGTTGACTATTATTATGCTATGCCTCCTTCTAGTTAGCATGAACTAATAAAAACCTGATGAATTAAGCTTATCTCATTTATTGATAGGGAAATCTTATTAGTAGATTGTGTAACTTGTGGGCATAATACAATATTTGAGCTCAGCAAAGGACTTAGCAAAGGTTATTTCATGACACTGTTTACCAAACTTGCTTAAGGGTAAAACTATTAAGGGATGTATAGTTGACTTTAGAGACATGGTGGCTCAGTGGCTAAGACACTGAGCTTGTCAATCAGAAGGTTGGCAATTCAGTGGTTCGAATCCCTAGCGCCGCGTAATGGAGTGAGCTCCCATTACTTGTCCCAGCTTCTGCCAAACTAGCAATTTGAAAGCATGTAAAAATTCAAGTAGAAAAATAGGAACCACTTTGGTGGGAAGGTAACAGCACTACGTGCACCTTTGGTGTTTAATCATGCCAGCCACATAACCACGGAGACGTCTTCAGAAAGCGCTGGCTCTTCGGCTTAGAAACAGAGATGAGCACCTCCCCTCGAGCCGGAAATGACTAGCACGCATGTGCGAGGGAACCTTTACCTTTACCTTTATAGTTGACTTTAAAATCAGACTTACAAACTGTTTTCCTTCTGAATCAAATTGGAAGCACATATTAAGTGGGATTCCACAGGATTAGATGTCTCCTTGGTTCCTTTCGGTATTTTTATTTATGACTGAAATTTCCCAAGTTAATTGTCAGTATAGTTGATTTGATCTGCTGTGCCAGTCTCCTCCCTTGAATTTAAATTGTTAGTATTGACTAGGCTACTAGAATTGGGGTACAGAACTTTGGACACGCATTAGAGGACAGCAAAAAAAAATCCTGAAAACCAATTTGATTTTACCCTCTGATAGTCAATCCAGGTTTTTTACCAGAGCAATCCAGATCTGGCAAACAATATTATTGCTATATTTTTGTTCTTTTTTAAAATTGATTGCAAGCAGCATTGAAGCATCTAAATGCATTAACTGGATGAGATATACCTGTTTTTAATCAATTAATCTCTGTTTGCCAAAGACCGACAGGTTACTGCCCAACATCTCTACATTCTATATCAAAGCTACTCAAGTAAAATGCATTTTTTTGTATGTTTCATCCATATGAAATTACGTACAGCACTGATTTGAAAGCCATACTTCCTGCATTCAATGGAAAGAATGCTGTAACGGGCCTGTAATTAAATACATAAATATACGTATACATAACTGGAAAAGGCAGTCACAGGAATCTTTGTAGGTATCCGGTGCTTAAGAAAATTTCTATAAAAATAAAGAGCAAAACCGGTTGGATAATAACACTGTTCAGGTGGGCTGATGACATTTTTCAGTAGCTTTGCATACTTTATTAATTTTCTCAGCACTTCTGGGTTGTTTGCGTTCTATGTCTAGGCTAAAAATAATTTGTGTTGTTGTTTGTTTGCCATGGCTATGTCCTAATTGTTCACACAGTTTCTCATTTTAACCTATATGTTTGTGTAGAGCAGTGTTTCTCAACCTTGGCAACTTGAAGATGTCCGGACTGGGGACAAATGCTGGCTGGGGAATTCTGGTAGTTGAAGTCCAGACATCTTCAAGTTGCCAAGGTTGAGAAACACTGGTGTAGAGACTATTATTTAACATAGTAGAGTTACCCAGTTTGCTTAGATATCCATACAATGATGATAAAGGAACTGGGGGAGTGCTGAGCATTATTGGAATTATTAGTATTACTTTTGAAAGACAATCTCTGATAAGAAGGTCTCTCCTGATCAGAAGTATCATTCTATATCACAAGATACTTTACTTTTTACATTTTCTTTGATTCATAGTAGCATGGTGTGTTCCTAGATTATGAGATAAATCCTATTTTATGTATTGCCAGAAGCCTTAATGACAGAAGACTGGATACAAGTTTAATAAAGTTAAAACACATTCAAATGAAAACCGTACAATCTAGAGCCAATAGGTTCAAAGCATTTTGTACTAAACAAAACCAAACTTCATCAGCTGTGTGATGAGGTAACTCTTAACTATGACGCTTTCTGCTTTCAAGTTAATTATTCAAGAGCCTTTAAGCCACCCACATACTCATCCAAATTTGCAAGCTAATCCCATTGAGATCTGGAACACATGTTACACATTGACCTGAAGGAAAATATGCTTTTATTCACAGATCATAAAGCTTTTCCTCTATTAATAGAGGGATGAATACATGATCTGCCATAAGTACATGATTTAAAGTACTTCACAGAATTTAACATGATTTTTGAAAGTCATGCTACATCATTTAGTTTTTTATGAACAGTTTAGGTAAACATTGATAGTTTACTAACAGGATACCAAATTAAAATATTATCACATTAATATTTTTGAATATCTTTCACTACCACTTGGCAGATGTAGGGAAATCTTAATTACACACTTTCTCATGGCATCCTCTTTTTTGTTTAAAATCCATGTGCAGAAGTAGTCACTTGTCAAAAAGTGAAAAATACACATTTATTTATTGTTAACATATTTATATGGCTGCCCATCTACCAAAGGAACACTAGGTGGCGCCATCTTACAGATATAGTTTTCTATTTGTTTATGACGCATTGATTTTAGTACAATTTGATAGAGAAGTGAGATTTTATAATTGATTAGTTTTCAGAATTTTAGTACTTATTCCCCCTTTGCTGCTGTTAGATTATAAGCACACTTGCCATTTACAAATAAAGCAGCAGTCTAACACTAACTAAGGGCATAAATACGATGCATTTGAATAGATAAATTCAATGTAAATTACTTTTGAACCATTTTCCTTCAACCTATTGATGCACTTAAGTTGCAATTTTGTACACTTTAATGATGGTATCTCAGAAGATTATATGGAAGTATAGATTCCACCATCCTGGGATGTAGAGAAAGCTTTTCCCTATATAAACTGTAACAAAACTCTTGTTCCTAAGGATTAGGAATGTTGTTGTCAGAACAATTTTATGTGATTGAGCTCTAATTTGTTTCATTCTTTGAACAATACTAGCAAAACATCTCACTTCTGATTAATAAACTCTTCCTGGATTTGTTACTAAGTTTGCAGTATGATCACTAGATAAAGAAGTTATCATAGATTCATTCATTCATAGGTGATCGCTATATGTCCTACACTATCTATAGGTTTTTTCAACAATTTCCCTATCTATCTGTCTTTGCATGGCCAATTCACTATGCTTCTATTTACAGATAAATGACTCACTCTGTGATTCAGTAGAATCCAAACAAGGAGAGGACACAATTTTGTGACTATTCTACTCTACTGCCTGAAGCACTGATTATTTCTGAAGCAGGCATGGAGGAATATAAAATCTTTTCCCTCAGACCCTTTAATATCATTGCCATCAAATGGCACAAACTACAGCTGTAGCAAAGGCAATAGCACTTAGACTTATATACCGCTTCATAGTGCTTTTACAGTCCTAAGCGTTTTACAGAGTCAGCATATTGCCCCCAACAATCTGGATCCTCATTTTTACCTCAGAAGGATGGAAGGCTGAGTCAACCTTGAGCTGCCAAATTGCAGGCAGCTGGCAGTCAGCAGAAGTAGCCTGCAGTACCGCATTCTAACTACTGCACCACTCTGGCTCATGCATTATAAATAGTCCTGTATTTACAACCACAATTGGGACCAGAATTTCTGTTGCTAAACAAGATAGTGGTTAAGTGAGTCACATCCAATTTTACAATCTTTTTGTTAAGGTTATTAAGTGAATCATTGTGGTTAAATAAACATGTGCTGATTAAATGAATCCAGCTTTCCCCATTGACTTTGCTTGTTGGAAGCCAGCTAGGAAGGTCAAAACTGGAAATCAAATGACTCTGGGATACTGCAACCCATCATAAATACAGGCTGTTTGCCAAGTGCACAAATTTTTATCAATGACTGTAGGGATGCTGCAATAGTCATAAGGGTGAGGACCAGTATTAGACACTTTTTTCAGTGCTGTCATAACTTTGAATAGTCACTAAATAAATGGTTTTAAGTCGAGGAGTACCTGTTATTAGTCACATTAATAAAAGAATTTATCCTGGTCCTTAAATTTCCTAACAGGAAAGTATAGCTTTACTTCACATAGTTCTTTTTTTGTTCATCACTAAGAGGATTGGAGCAGGAAGAAATAATGAACTTTGAGTAGCAAGGACTTGATTCATCAGAAACTATAGAAGTTATTTGAAATCTAGTTGGACACTTATAAGTTGGAGTGCTCAAGCTGTCCAGTGTCAAAGAACTGTTATTTTGGAATGATAATTGCTCAGTGATGCAGTTAGAAGTGGAAATATCACCATAAAGCTGTCGTTTATTTGGCCAATACAAGGGGGGGGGGAGTCTAAATTATGTTTTGGATTCTTAGACCTTTGCAAGCTAAATCAATACAAAATGCTTATTTTAAACATGCTTTGTATATCTTACGCAGCTTGTTAATGGAGTACCTCATCTTGGATACAGATGTCGGAGTGGCTTTAGTGCGAACCTTTCATCTCACCGTTTTGTGAGTGACAATGAGTGGCATTCAGTCTTCCTAGAAGTGAAAAACCATTCCATCCATTTGCTGGTTGATGACATGGGAAATGCCTCTTTCCACCTCCCAGAGAGCTGTAGCATTTCCCATTCCACCAGAGACCTGTTGATTGGAGGACTAGTACAGCATCATCAGCCTCAGAGAATCACTGGGGGCTTCAGGGGTTGCCTGAATGCTATTACTGTGGATGGAAGAGATCTGGTGGTCCTGCCCAAAGAAAAACGGTCCAGAGGGGTGGTTGAAGAATCAAGCATTAGGCAGTGCTGTCCACACAGTGGTGCCTGTAGCAGCAACCCCTGCCTCAATGACGGACTCTGCAGTGAGGTACAACATGGAGGTAAGTGTAGCTTGGAGCAGCTCATGTTGGGGAAATTACAAGGACTTGTGAACGGTTAGAGGACCTGGGCATGGGTAGTCTAGAGAAGAGAAGGGCCAGGGGACACATGATAGCAGTGTTCCAATATTTGAGGGGCTGCCACAAAAAAAGAAGGGGTCAAGCTATTTTCCAAGGAACCTGAAGGCCAGATAAGGAATAATGGATGGAAACTGACCAAGGAGAGATTCAACCTGGAAATAAGGACACATTTCCTGACAGTGAGAGTAATCAACCAATGGAACAAGCAAGGCCTTCGGAAGTTGTGGGAGCTTCATCACTGGAGACTTTCAAGAAGAGATTGGACTGCAATTTGTCAAAAATGGTGTAGGGTCTCCTGCTTGGATGGGGGGTTGTACTAGATGACCTACAAGATCCCTTTCAACTCGGTTAATCTGTATCTAGGTAATTGATGAAAGACACATCTCCTTTCTCTTCCTAGTTAGTTAACCTCTACATTCCAAAGTTGTGTGTTCTGAAAAGGCATGAATTTCTGGGGGATAAAGAGAAGGGACAGATAAAGTCAGCAGATTGAATGTTCCCATGTTTTCTCCATTATGTATCAGTGAACTACATGTTTAAACTTCCATTTGCAGGGTTTTCTCTTAATGAAGGAACTGATAGGTAATGAAATATTGTTGTAAACTGCCTTACAACAGAGTGATTCTGGTGGAAATAAACAGAACGGTTCGCAAATGTGAGGGCATGTGTGTGGGCACTTGCTTTGCTCGCATATACTGCATCTGAGCATGCACACTGCCTTCTGCGCATGTGCACCGCCTTCTGCTCATGCACAGTGCTCGCAAATTACATTGGGGTGGATGGGCAGGGCCTCCCACAGCTTCTGCTACCAATTCGCCTGAATCGGAGAGAATCGGTGAATACCACCTGTGGCCTAATTGTTACAACATGTCATAACATCATCTGAATTATATTCTGATTTTGTATATGGCTGCCCTAGCCACTTTTAAAAAAATAATAATCTAGTTTTGCTTTTATTTGACCTATTTTCATTAGGTTATGTTTGCACCTGCTCCACACAGTTTTCTGGAGATCACTGTGAAGTGGCTGACGGCCTTTGTGAAGGAAATCCCTGTTTACATGGAGGGACATGTGAACTTTCTAAGAAAGGTGGCTATACTTGCCGTTGCCCCGAGAGATATTGGGGGGAAAGGTAAGAATATTCCCTCAGTGCTGGTTTGGTCCTTTTGAACTTCAGCAAGGACATCATACCTATTTTATCCTGCATTGCACATATTCATCACACAATGAATATCGCAGTCCAATAGTCATGCCTGTTAGAAATGTATGAATAATCAATTTTAGAACATTTTTAAAGATTTTGTTCACCTTATCTCAAATAATATAGAATTATTGGCAATTATGATCAAGATCTATTTGCTTATCTTTTTATTCTTTCAATAGAAAGATTAACTGAATGAATGAATGAACTGCTTTGTAGACAAATTAACTGTTGCGATTATATAAATAAGCAAGACTCGAGATATACTATTGATGAATACTTAGAATTAATTGCTTTGTTGCATGAGTTTCTGCTGAGAACATCCAGGGCATGACTTTAATTGTGATTGTATTGTATTGTGATTGTATTGTATTGTGATTGTGTGATTTTGTGTCTCTTATGTGGCATGCCAATTTTAACTTGAGATTTTAAGACTCTGTTTATATTGATGAAAGTTTTATAAGAAATGCTCTCCTAATTATACTATATATATATATATATATATATATATATATATATATGTATGTATGTATGTATGTATGTATGTATGTATGTATGTATGTATGTATGTTTGCTTTCTCTACTCAAAGTCCACACTAATATATCAGGATCTTATGGAGGAGTTAGGTGAGGTCCAGATGTTTTGAACAAATCAGCAATCATATATTTAATATTTGCATGGCCCCAAAGCTCTGAAGAGCATATAGTTATATTTTCTGAACTTTTGGGGACTTAAATTCAGATTCACTGGCACAGCAATCATGTGTGTTGAGCTCCACAGATCTCTGCCAGATGTGCAGTTTTGCTCATGATTGGTATTTCAATTTTCCTCCCATTTCCAATCCCATGAATCATCCTTGAGGATTTCCTCAGTAAGATTCAGATTTTTAACATTGGAATATTTCGCCCTAACCCTAACTGTCACTCTATTTCAGAGGAGGAAATTTGGAAAAATTCTGTGGACCTGGGATAACTTTATGGGGACTGAAAAATCCTATGTATCTAGAGGACAGCATTGATTTCTGCCTTATAATTCTTTCCTCAACTTCATTCATATATTGTAAAGGAATGAATTGGATGAATGAACTAATTTTACAAATGGGCAGGAAATGGCAATATACTTACATATGTCCTTTTTCCCCCTAAAGGTCTTGCTTTTTAGTTTCATAACTAGAGCTATTGGTATCTGCTTGCTGATATTGCTTTATCATCTGTCTTCCATCACAGATGTGAAAAAGTCGCTGAGAAATGTTTGGAAAATCCATGTCACAACTCAGGACGTTGTGTGAATAGTGAGGGTTCTCCTCACTGCATCTGTACAGATCACTTCCAGGGAACATTCTGCATGGAAAGAATTGGGAGTCCAACTACTAATCCATCCAGTGAGATTTGGAAGCCTGAAGGGATTGCCAAAATATCTGCTGGGGTGTTAGGTATAGTCATCCTGGTGATAGCTAGTGTACTCATCCACAAACGCTACTGCCACAAAGTCAAAGCTCACAAGCCAGTGGCCAAAGAAGATCCAGACCTGCTCTCCAAGAGTGAATTCTCAAAAAGTGTTGGGGTTGGCACACAAGGTCTTCCACCCATTGAACTCAATATTTTGAACAATGGTCATCATTTCAGTGCTCTAGACCCAGCCAAGCCTTCTGTTGCCTCAGAATTTACCACTTTCAATTCAAGGAATGTGCAGAAACAACGGGGTGCCATTGTGTGCAGTGTGGCTCCCAATCTCCCAGCTGCTGCCCCCTTATCTAACTCTGATAATGACTCTACATTGAAGAGTTCCTGGACTGGAGAAAAAATGGGTTTGTTTTATCTTTGTTTGTTTCTCTTTCCTCTGTTTCATTGGATCTTTCCAAGTAATGCTCTTTCTATGCTCTAAAGCCACACTGGTTATTCCTATGTTTTGGGGTATCTAGCTCTCATTTTTCATAACAGTATTGTGTTATGGTGGTATCAGTTTTGTCATATTTAAAACATAAATATGCATTTCTTCAATTCCTTTTTCAGTTAGTGTATTGTTGCCCTGCACATTGAATGTAGTTACACAAGTATTAGCTAGTTATCAAATATGTCACATCAATCATCGAGAACAACAAACATAGTGATACGTAAGGTCTAAGTCAGTGGCAGTCAACCTGGTCCCTACCGCCCACTAGTGGGTGTTCCAGCTTTCATGGTGGGCGGTAGGGGTTTGCTGTAACTC